CATGTAGGTCAGCTCCCTGGCTGGAGATCAAACTCATACTGAAGGGCTATGGCTATTCACAGTGCTGCACTCTAATACATTGTGCTGCCGGGCAGGGCTCAACAAGCCTATCTTAATCAACAGTTTGAAGACCTACTTAGTTGATCTTTATTTCTTAAACTGGTAACATTTATTGTGCTTATTTGAAAGTAAAAATTATGTTCTCTATTTTGATTAGTGAAGTACTCTGTAAAATTTATGTTCTCTATTTTGATCAGTGTAGTACTCTATAAAATTTATGTTCTCTATTTTGATTAGTGTAGTACTGTTCAGGCTGAATTGACTGCTGAATGCAGCTAAGAATACCTAAGTAATAAAGTAGTTTAAAAGCATGGAAGAACTGACAGGACAGAAATAATCAGACCAAAAATCCAAGTGGATCAGTTCCATCTCCCCTCTTCTTTTGCCCCATGCCACTGACTTTTTACCAAAATCTGTCATTCCCTCTCTAGAATGTCCATTATCTGGATTTATCTGTTTGCTTCCTTGTAATGATTTAATTTATTCCTCATAATTCCCATAAATGGTTCCTAACAGCATTAACAAAGTTGCTTATTTGTATCATTCTTATAGTGGCTTCAAAATAATACCAATATAACTACAGACAATTGGATTACAGACTACTGAATAAAAATTAAGGTTTCTTTGCAGCTCTATTTGTTTTTAGGATATACTTTACTAAGGATGTATCATCAATTCTGGAGTGTAACTTGAAATCATTTTTTCTCTAATGTTTTACATAAACTTTACATGAAGTTAGGTTCATATGTTTTAGTTAACAGTTTTTAGAAATTGCTGAAATCAAAAAATATATATAACAAGGCAAATTGAGAAAAAGCTCTGCCCCCTCTACACTATCCATATCTACCTCCTATTGGTGACTATTTTAATTTGCTTTTGGTTGTATCTCAACAATACTGCTTTTTGCAAACATGTAAAAATAACATATATGTGTTCTTCTCCCCATTCGTATATAAAAAATTGCAAACTTTATATACTGCTAAATACTCTTTTTTAAAAGAATGATTTTTTTGGGGGGGGCATACAAGAACTGGGATACAGGTCAAACAGAACAGACAGATTGACTGCAATACACTGCTGAGGGGAAGCAGTGGACAAGACCGGAGAGGTCTGCTGTGCCATGTGGGTCAGCTTCATGACTGGGGATCGAGCACATTCTGCAAGTGGTTGCTGATAGCTCTGACTTTAACTCCTGTACCACCAGGGAGGCCCTATTCATTTTTCTTAATAATAAATCCTGACAGCCAGTCCCTATTATATATACAGATCTTTCTTGATGCATAGTGCTATGTTTGGGAGTATACTTGACTTAGTCACCTATTCCCTATTGATCTGGGTTGTTTTCCAGAGACTTATACGAAAGTCTTGCACCTTTCATATTTTCTCCATTGAATCTTTGAAAAAGATTTCTAGAGATAGAAATAAATGTATTTTTAGTTTTGTTTTTTTTTAAGATTTATTTATGCATATTTAAGATTTATTTATGCATACAGAACTGGGTAACAGGCCAGAGGTGCAGGGGCCGTGAGAGGAGTCACCAGAGACAGAGTGGGGAGCAGAACAGGCAGATTAACAAAGCGCACTGCTGAGGAGAGCAGCGGGCAAGACAGGAGCCATGTGGGTCACCTCCCTGGCAGGATCGTAAACTCGCATTGAAGTGGCTGCTGCTAGCTTTGCAGTACTGGGAGTTACCTGTTGCACCACCAGGGAGGGCCCTGCATTTGTAATTTTTCTTTTACCTATTTCCTTTTCTACCATTGTGCAGTCCTACCAGCAGTGTGTTAAGATGTACCATTCTGTAGAGACTTTATTGTCAAATTTTTGGATTTATATCCACTTGATAGGTTTTTAAATGCATCTCTCTTTATGAGAAAGATTGTTTTTACATGTGTTTTTGAGAGCCAATTACAGTTATGAGGCTGTTTTTTTGCATGTTTGACCATATTTTCTATTGTGTTATGGAAATCCCCTCTTTCTATATTTAAAATTTTAAAGACATTGGCCATTAATCTTGACTAATTTAAATTGCAAGGTTTTTTTTTGTTTTTTGTTTTTAGTTTGTCATTGTCTTCTGATATTACTTTGGTAGAGTATTTTAAGGTTTTTGTTTCTTTTCTTACATTTAAAAGTTTTATATAATTGGATTTTCCTTTTATTGCTTTTGGATTTTGAGTCTCAGGTAGTATTTTTTTCTCACTTCCGTGTGATAAAGGAATTCATTCATATTTTCTTCTATTGTATAATTTCATGTTTCATGTTTAGATCTGTGGTCTACTTGGTGAAGTATAGACTTAATTTCATCTTTTCCCAGTCTATCCATTTCTCACAATGCCGTTTTCTGCTTACTTGCATTTTGAGTCTATTTCTGGACTTTTCCATTTTGTTCCATTCATCTGCTTGTTTTGATCATATACCAGTATCACAATGCTTTAATTATAAGCTCCCAATTATTTTTTACTTTACTTTGTTATCAAAACTAGATAATAATAATTAGTGATTACTCTTATCTAATTCATTATGTTCCCCACCATTGCCAAATGAAACACTGATATTTGTATGCTGTAGTGCATGAGAAGGTGTTTTTAGGTCCTGTATTAATTTAAAAGAGTGTTGAATGAGTAGTCAAGTATCAAATTCATATTTTTGAAGCCCATCTAAGCGAATCACTCTCTACATATCTGTATTCTTAGCAATTAAAAAAAGTTGTGCAGATGATCTTCGGGGTGGTTTCTGCTTCTGTTTAATTCTAACCTGGTGTAAGAGCACCACTGGAATATAGTATATAGTTCATTCTACCTTTTATTCCCCTTTGTCCTTTTCCAAAGTAAACTTTCTTTTATCCTTTTCTTGCCTCTTGTTTTTTTTTTTTTTTTTTTTTTTTTTTTTTTTTTATATGTGGTGTTGTGTTTCTAACTGCTGATTAGATTGCTACTGT